GGGTCATCTTTTCTCAGCTTAGTCTTGTGCTGCTTTCACACATTCATGCTCTAATTATGGTCATTCCCACAGTCTGCTCTCTATCTGATTGTAAGTTTTAGCAGTGTTGAGTTTAAATCTTGCTTATGATTTTTAGAAGCATGAGAATTTTATAGAGCTACTTTATTTTTTGTCTTTCAATCTAAAATTTAGGTTTTCCCAGGATTTTTCAGGAATTAAGTTATTTACAGTTGAGATGATATTTCATATTTCTGTCAGGAGATAAACTTCTGCCTCATGGTTAGGGACATTTTCACCTCTGCAGGAAGACATTACATATTCTGAAAGCAAATATTCAACCCTTCCATTGCAAAGATAGTTTCCCTCTTGCCAGACAGAGTAGCTCAGTTAGAAAAGGGCATTTCCACCTAAATTATTTATATCTCTTATAAAGGAATTTTACTGAATAGAATTTTATAGAAGTTTAAAGATTGCTTTCAGAAACCACTTAAGTTAGGAAATCATTATGTGTTTAAACAGTCTGGCTTTGCTGCAGTGTACTTGGAGGCAGAGGGGCAGACACTGATTGACTTTTATTGGTTTTCAACCAAGCCTTTTCTATATTGTCATGGCATTTGCTATATCATCATGTGAAATTAATTTGCTTCAAATACAGAAGTCAACTAAGGTATCTATAATTCTCAATTTTTAAAAGCCAGCCTAGTCATTAGAATTAGAATGTTAGAGTGTATATGTAAATTCAGTGCTGGTCATTGACAGCAGCTACCAGAAAGAAGCAAGTTCTGAAACCATCTGAGAACTTTTCTGGACTTGTGGTCAAACCCTACAGAGTTTATCCAGAAGAAAAACTCACATGATTTTGAATATTGTCAGAAGATCTCTTTGGAAACCAAGATGGTTAGACTTCATTATGTGTTTTTGTAGTGAAACAGGTTAGGAACATTTACATAAACTGCCAGGTTATTATTACAGTAAAGATCATAATTTCTTAAACTGTTGGGGCAATAATGTGACCTGGCTTATTTTCTTAGGGGAAAATATGACTCCCTTCAACATCAGTCAGAAGTCTCCCAAAATAAATAAATATACCTATACGTGTACATACAAAGATTAAAATCAAGATATTCTGTAAAATCCGTATGAATTTCAAATACCTTGGTGCAATTAAAAGGTGTAAGAAATTGTCTAAGAAGTTCTGCAAGATCAACCCTTTATTGTCTGTTTCTAAAACTAAAATATTTTCAGCATTATCATGACATATGAGAATGGAGTACACTTTAGTATGAATCAATATAATTTTTCATTGTCACATGCAATGGGCCATATTATTTACATTCACTCAACTAACAAGGCCAGTCTGCGACAATATCATTTTCCAGTTCAGTAATTTTCTTTTTTAACAACTCTTAATGTTAATAAAGCTGTACCAACAAAAGCATTAGATGCATTGGACATAAAATAAACTGCATTTTAACAACCTCAGCAGACGTTGCCAAGTCCTGAAGTCAGCCAGGACCATGTGCTGCACAGTCTCAGTGCAGAAAATAGCATTAGAGAAAGCAAGAAATATTTTGTCATTAACGCTGAGATTATTTACTTGAGGTGCTTTTGTGGAGCTGTGCTTCAGCTCTCTACGTGTCCCTGAGCTCCTTGGGTGAGACACAGGCTCAGTCACACTTTCACTGCTCTCAGAAGAGCTCCTCCAGTGGGTCTACAGCTGCTTCTTACTGTCATATATGCATTTAATTTATGCCATATGGGGTCAAGAAATGTACACTTTATGAATTACTGCAACAATTTCCATCCCAAAAGTCTTAAGCAGTGTTCTGCTTTCTAGGCTGTGAAAGCAAGGCAAGCTTTCCTGTAACACACCCAGGCCAGTTCCCAGGAAGGCTGTTTCCTTTGGCAAAAGGAAGCCCCAGTGTGTTTTCAGCTGGCTGTGTTACCTCACTGGGGTTCCAGCAGGCACACAATTTCCCAAATATTGTGATAAAAACCACAAGCAAACAGATAGGCAGTCAAATAGAAGGTCGTGAGCTTCCAGGCTGAGGTACAGTGAGCCAAAAATTCTTTTTCCTATGGACATATCCAGAGGGTGAAGCACATTCCTCTGCTGCTCCCTACATCCCAGGGACAGTGTCAGCCCTGATGAAGATTCCCACTACAATGTTCTTTCACTCACACAGTGCTCACAGTTTGGTTTTGGTTCTGTCCCAGGAGATGTTCAGTGTCAAACAGAAATTTGCATCGCGCTGTGGCTGAGCTCCAGCTGTGCCTTGACACTGAACAGCCGCTGCCTCTTGCAAGACACATTTCCCCACACCAAGAGGGAACTATTTAAGTCCTTTGTGCTAATGATTTCTCATCCTTTGAAATTAAATAATAGCAGAACAAACAAATAAACAAATATGGCAAAAGGGACTTCTTGCAAAAACACAGGAATTGCAGGAGTTTATCCCGTGTACAATGGGATGAATGAGTTGAGGCTTTTTGGATTAGATTTCAGAACAAAATAGGGCAGGCTGTGGATTTACAAAGATTATATTTCTATCTAGGTTGGCTAATATGTGCACATATTTTTATAATTAAAGATGAGAAAATAATTTTCAAAGAGAAATTTACAGCAGTTCTGACCTACAGGATCAAACTGGACAAAAGAAGAAAGAGAAGGCATTTTCCCTAAAATATGTTTAGCTTGAGTCTGTCTGCATTTTTAAGAAAAAAAAAGGAGTAATTTCAGTTTCCTGACAGTATAATTCAATCTTTTATAACAAGCTGAATGCTTAAGTGAAAATTACAGTGCATGAAAACTCTTTACAAAATAATAGTTTTGGGTTTTGTTTTTTTTTTAAGTCTAAGACAGGAGTAACAGATGTCAGCACCTTACATTGAAAGAAGAGAAATTAGGAAAAAAATATAGAAATCTACCTTTTAAGAAACAAATTCTTGAACAAAAACCATTTGCTAACAACCAATTCCCCCTGCCCAGTTTCAGCCTTACTTTTATTGAAGAGTAAATGAGGAAAGGAACAAAAGCAGAGAAGCTGTGTTTAGGAATCTTGGGAGTTCAATTAATTTTCATTGCATGGCTGACAGGCCCCCAGTAAAAGAGGAAAGCAGTTAACTCCTCTGTGCAGGTGAACTGAAACTCTAATTCTTAGCCATGTGAGTTAGCAGTGCTAGGTAATATCCACTGAAATGACTTTGTCTCAGTCTACCTGATTTAGCTGTGAGTTTTTAGCTGGCTTTGTACTTCCATGACATGTTTGTATTTCAATAAAGCTTTATGAATGGAGGCTCAGCCAAGATTCTTCAGTCTCTTTTATACCTTCTTGTGCTCATCAGCATTTTCTCTGCTGAACAATAAAACAGCAGAACAACAAAGTCACAATTTTCTGGTTTATTGCCATGTCATTAGATTTGTCACACTAAAGACCATTTTAAAGGGTAGGCATTTTAATTCTTTTGAAGCACGTTAAAAGTAATTGATCAAAATGTTACATGAATTTCAGGTTTCTTTAAAATACAATAGAGGATGTTTTCTTCCTCAGTCTCAGAGACTTTATTTATTCTCCTACATCACTTCAGCAGCCCCTCAGCACACATATGCCCCAATGAAGCAGACAGCCTAAAGCAGCTGTTAATCACCTTCAACAGCCCAGCTACCAGAGAGTTTGTTAATTCAGGGCACACTATTCCAAATGCAGTTGTGGCTTCAGGACCTGGCCAGCACCATGGCACTGCCATATTTCTAAATTACTTTCCCTTTTGCTTTATAGAAGTCCATTCCTGATATAACTCCTCAGAGCCTGAGAAACTCCTGCCAAGGGCTAAAGGTTAGTTTTAAATAAACTGACAACACACCTACTACCTTGGTCCAGATGCAGTTTATTTTACTTCTTACTGCACAGAAATCAGGTTATGTCCTGTGAGGAGTTTGTCAGTGCAAATGGAAGCTGCAGTAAGGTCTGACCTGGTATTTCCTGAAAACTGCTGGGACATAAAACAATCCTGACCAGTCAAGCCAGAGATGTGTGACATTAAAGACTGCTGGGACTGAATGTACTCTTTCTTACAATTTGAAAATTCCTTTCCTGCAGATGTTCAGCCCTGCCACATTCTGCTTGGTGACAGAAGCAGAAAAATCTATGCACAAAGAGAGAAGTCACTGTCTGTGTTGAACCTCATTTATTGTAAATAAAAGAATTTGATCTTTCTGTCTGGCTCAAGAGAGGGAGAAAAGTAATATTCACATCCTACGCTTTGTGCTTGGTCTTTCTCTTCTACCTGAGCAATAAACTTTAGGCTAAGCTCTGCACAGGGAACCAGTCAGGACAATGCTTTTAGCATGTTTCAATATCTATTTGACAGTAATGGAGCTTTGAAAGTCAGTAGTATGATATGTTTTGACCTGCTGGCAAAATGTGTTTTTTATAGACATAATCTGCATTTGTTTAGAGTATTTTCTATGGAATGCCACCAGTTTTGATCATGTGCCTCAGACAGTTTATTGGAGGAAGAAAATTACCTCTGTTCTAAAATACTGTAGTCCTTCTCTTCTGTGTTTCTGTGCACATATAATCATAATTATACATATTTTTCTCAATTAATGTTCAATGAAGGAAAATTGTGGTACAGAACAGGAATTCCTTTACCTGTAACAATACATGGTTTCTACTACAGTGTTTTGGAAGTGAGGTTGTGTGTCAATTGACTGAAGAATAATTTTTTACTGTACATCTACAGAAATCATTCCTTCTCAGTTGCAAAATAGATTTTTCAACACTGTGCTTTGACACCTTGCTCAAAATTTCTATTCAGTGCAGCGACAGCTCAAATAATATGTTCATTGAGAGGTGGAGATGCACCATTCTCAGAGATTGACATATAGAAAGAAGTAGTTGTGATTATGTATGCTTATATGATTTTTTTCCTAACTAACTCCACTATCTATTGTATTCTTTAATGATCAACAAGCTATTATTTTCTTTTTTTTTCCCCTTGGCACCCACATTAAACAATCCTAGAATTGAACAATTGCAAAGAAAACTCCTCCTGATCTTGATGGTTCTGAGTCTCTCAGGACTTCCTTTTCTTACATGGATTTGTTTCACACAAATACAGTGGGTTTTTTCTGGTGAAGGATGTGGAAGTATTCATTGCCCAGAGAAGCAGAGAGGTTTCCTTTTCAAGCAGCCATCCTCATGTGGGAGCAAAGAACTCTGTAGGCTTTGCAGGAGAGGTGCCTCTTGGGGAAAACAGTGGCATTCACCTGTCCTTTCCCTTCATAAAAATTCATCTCTTCTTGAAACCAGAGTCAGACTCAATGTGGCAATTCTGTATAAAGTTGTAGTCCACTGCTGAAGAAAAGGAAAAAAGACTAAGGCAGGGAATTGTGCATTGTCTGCTACATCTCCTATACCAGTAACAGGTCAGCCTAGTGCTTGAAATACTTGTATTAACTTTGGAAAACAAATAACACAGACAAGTCATTAGGCAGCAAAGGAATTTAAGACTAAACAGAAGCTCTGCTCTGTAACTTCCTGTCTCCTTTTCCACTGCAAGACAATCACATTATGTATTGTTTTTATAAAAGAACTGTGAGTCACTCTAAATAAAGTTTATTCACTATTAGCACAGAGAAAGTAAAAGGTTCTTTACCCTCAGATGACAGAACGCATTCCCAGCCTGAGTTCATTGCCAGTTATGGGCTCATTGCTCTCTGTACAGCACTTCCCTCCAGCTGAACTACATCTTCTTACTTCTGGTGAGCCTCAAAACTTCCCTTTGAATTGTTCTGACTTGCAAAATGTACTCATATTATTTTGCTCTAATCCCATGAGACAAGAATTCAATTATTGTGGTCATAGCTGTAGTCTTTCTCTGAACCTGTTCCTGCTGAGATTTATGTAAAATTTTAGAAATCAAAGAGCATTTTCAGAAGGTTATAGACAGGACTTACCACACTTCCCTCTGCTTCCCTACATGAAATAAAAACATCCCCCTTTGGTTGCATTATTAATTTTATTGTACAGAAAATCCTCATGTCCATCCCAGGATGAACTATTTTTAGTTCCAGAAGATGAGTTCTCAGAAAAAAATTTTCCCCCTAGAAGAAATTTTGCTACTTTTTTCCCATGTATTTATCCTTGCATTTTGTGCTTCTGACTCTGAAGCACTTCCATGAGATGTCAGGGATGGGATGAGAGCTGCAAACAGGAGCCCACAGAGCTTCACTGGTAGCAGGGAAGACAAGGTGGACGTGTTTGATGGTGGCAGATGGTGTCTTCAGAGACATGGACAGAGTCTGGGGTTAAATAACTACCGCCTCTGTAAAGAATAAATTGTTCAGACTCATGGAATATCCTCAAGGTTTTGCTCCCCTGTGAAGCTCCTGTAAACCTGCCTCTTTGTGAGAGGATTGGTGCTCTTAACCACCCCAGTGCATGGCAGAAGTTACAATGGCAGAAGTAAATAAACACAGACACTTATTTCTAGCTTGATATTTGACTTTTCATTAATCTAACTGCACTGGAAGGTGAATTGAAATTGGCTGAGGCCTAGAAGAGAATGGGAAGATGTGTTTAATCTTGCTCCAGATATGCTATCAAGAAATACGCCACTGGCTAGACACGCTGCTTGAATTCAAGAGAAAATAGCCATGTGCCTTTTAGCATAATTCAGTACCAAACAGAATAATTGGTTCCTTGAAACAGAAATTAGTTCTTCATTCACAGTTCCTGGAAGGAAGCTCAAATTGGAAAAGTTGCCTAAAATAGATGTGTTTGTAGATAGCATTTTGTACAATGGAATTGACCCATTTAATGAAAAACTTGGTTGTCAGTTACTGTTTTCTTTCAAACTAAGGTAACTCAGATTGAAGTGACACACATCACTAAAGTGCAAATAATGGGTTTGGTTCCAGCTGCAAAATGAAGAAAGGTCTTTTGAAATGGATAGAAAGTGGGTTTGTTTGGGGTTTTTTTTGGTTGTGGTTTTTTTTTTTGTTTGGTTGTTTTTTTCCTTTTTTTTTTTTTTTTTTTTCCAGATAGAATGGGATTCAGATCTTTGAGTTGTAGGGCACAACACAAGTTGAAAAGTCTACCAGAACTGCTTATTAGTAATTCAGCTCAAAGCCAGTGAGTTCCTCAGAAGGGTTTAGAGGAGCACCAGAAATATTAAATAGGTGATGATCCTTTGTGTGATGCTGTTGCTTTGCTTGTGGCTTCTGTGACCGAGTTGTGTGAAAAAGATTTCTCTTTATAGGCTCAGTGGTCACACAAAACACAGACAGAGGTGACCTTCAAGGTCACAGCAGAGCTGAGACACATCCTGTATATTCTGTATCTCCCACATATTCTACTTTTCACCTCCTGCCACTCCTCAGCAGCCTGCACCAAACAGACCCCAGAGCTACAGTCTTATTTGGCTTTTCCTTGAGGCTGACACAGCTTTATCCAGAATAACTGATGGCCAACTTGTGGATTTATGTCTCCTCAGACTTCTTCCCGTGGGCAAGTAATACCCTTAAATTCTTTTGAAAGTCACTAAATAGAGATGATTTTCTTTTTAGTTTCTGCAGATTATCAACCTGAACTCTGAAATACTGCACTTAATTCCAAACCCTTTGCTTTAAAGGTTTCAACCCTCATTCTTCACTCTTTATACTCTTCTGCTTATTAGTATAAGCAGACTTGGAAAAAAACCCTCATGTTAATCTGAAAAACTAAAATAATTGAAGTAAAATATATTTTACAAATTTTAAAATATTTATTCAAAAGCAAAATATTAAGTAATAGAGTTATTAAAGCTTGTATTTTACAGCCAGAGAAAAAAAGTATGGAATTCATTAAGGATTTATTTGTGCAATTAAATCTACAGTTCTTCCTATACACCACATAAAAACTCACACAACGGAAAACATTGTAATTCAATTTGCTCTCTTTAACTTAATTATCCACTTAATTTCTTAGAGCCATGTAAAAATGCTATTTTTTTTTTTCCTTGTTAAAGCTCATTGTGAGTTTTTAAATAGAATTTATATGACTGTGTTACTGTATGAATCTGAGTTATGTCATGCCTGAATTCTGGAAACTAGACTATCCTCACAGAGGATTGAAAGCAAGGATTTGTTTTACTTAATTTTAAAATGCTTTGTTAAGTGCTTGGGTGCTGCCAAAAGAAGCTGCTAAATCCTCGCAAGAAGCGTTCAATCCTGTGACACCATCCACATTCAAAAGAAAGCTGACAAAAAGGACTTCCTCCCCAGAACAGCGGTGTTGGAGCGGGCACTGCAGGCTCGAGCAGGAGGGATGAAGTTTTCTGGCTGGCTCTTCTCATGTGTTCTTGGAGGTGACTCCTGGACTGGAATGGCCCAAATGGCTCACTCTCACTGTGGTACTTCCATCCTTTATCACTCGCTGAAATAACCTGGCACAACGTAGAGCCTTGGCTGGGTGAGTTTCAGTGTCCTGGAGCCTTGGTCAGCAGCAGCCGGGGGGAGCACGCGGATGTGCCGGCACCGTGGGACCCCTGTGCAGTTCCAGCTTCCTGGGCTTGCCTTACTGAAATGCTGCTGTGTGCTCCTGTCCACTTTACTTCTTGAGGCAGTATTGCTTCACAAGGGTTCTCTCCTTCCCCTGCTTGTTTGGAAAGAGAATTTGCTGTATGATGCCACAAAGTAAAGGTGAGGGGGACAGAGAGAGAGAGAGAGAGAGAGCATCCTGAAGTTCAGGAAAGGGTTCTTAATGGCAGCAAGACCAGGGAAACTATTATTGACAGGAAGATACCCTAGAATGAATACTATATTGACTGCCTCAAGCTAAAATTGGGTGTAGTCCTTATCTGCAGAAAATTACGTCTAGATTTTATGTAAAACCATGAAGACCAAAAGCCTGTTTCAGACTACAATTCATTAAAACCAAAGCATGTAGCAATGGAAACCATTATTGAATGCTTGAAAAATAATACTTGAGTGAAGTATTTCTTTCTGTTCAGACTGCATTTGAGAAACACATTGTTCTCTGTGTTGAAGCAATCTCTTCTGACATAATCTAACCACAATATTACTGCCGTTGTTTGTTGTTGTTGTTGCTGCTGTTGTTACAGAAGGAACTAAAATTAAGACAAAAAGCTCCATGCATTCTTCTCACTCTCAAAGCCAAAAATATGCTTTGAACATTTGGACAAAGGAAGTAGTCAACTGCACAGAGATATATAACCCAGATTCTTGGGATGCTTATTTTTCAACATATTTTACATTTTATTCTTCTTATACTTGATGTTCTACTGTGACAAGCAACGAGGTAAAAAGAGGTTAGCTGGTTAGAGGATTGCATTTATGCTATTAGTTCCAGGTGGCCTTCTGATTACTCTTGGGATCAGGCTTGACTGTCATCTTTATCCCCAGGCTGCAAGTATATATTTCAAAGTCACTAACAACATGCAACCCACAATCTCCACAGTATAGTATTTGCTAGGCAACCATGTACATGACAGACATTTCTTCAATTGTTTAATTTCAAATTAGTTGAGTGTCTTACATCTCCAGAACAAAGATACATTAGTAATTAATTCTCAAAGAAAAAAAAAAAAAAAAGTAAAAATTGATTCCTTGTCACAGAAATTGAGAGCTGAGGCACAATATTAAGTGATAAATAATTAAAGAATATCTACGGGCAGAAAGGTAGAAGATTTCTATATAAGCTGAACATAAACAGTGGATAGTGAATATTAAAAGGTGGTATTCAAGGGGATGGACTGTCTGTGCAGAACTTATTTTTCTAAGTAGATTGCTATTAGTATTTAGGGGTCTCAAAAGAATCCTGCAAATTGCCAAGGATACACTTACAAGAAGATAGAAGTCAGTAGAAGAACAGGAGTTCAAAATTCCCTAATCCCAAAGTGCTTGTGATGCTGCTTGCATTCCGAATTGTTTGTTCACATTCATGTACTGGATTTGCATAGCAAGAGCAAAAAAAAATTAGTATTTGAAACACAAATTTCAGGCGTATGTCAACATGTCATACTAGAACTGCCTTAGCAGTGCTGTTCTGGTGAGACTTTGGTTTGACTTTAACGTCAAGAGGAGTAATTCAATTTGCAGTCAGAAAGACCTGGAACTCTATTCTGCTCACTGGCCTGCAGCCAGGTCACATTGGGTTGTGATCTCATAAACTTAAAGGAGTCAGCATGGATCAGAACTCGAGGAAATGAGCATTCAGTGATTTAGAAGTGATGCTTCTCATCTCAAATCAGCAATGCCCCAAGATGTCATTGAGGGCTCAGTTCCCCAATAAAGCCATCATTCACACTGAACATAAACCTGATGCTTTGACAGTTTGTGTTTATTAAAGATTCA